GAAGAATGCATTTGCATTTTGGTTTCCTGTGTCCGGGGCCCCTGACTTCTTCAGGTCTATTGTGGTTTTGCAAAGCAGCAGCTCGGAATGCATTTAGCCGGCCTGCCTTGAAAAATGCATTTGAGCATGTTTCTTTTGATTCTGGGCCTCGTTCGGAATTCTTGCAAAAAATTGAAATTTCGCTATACGTGTTAGAGCCCATATAGCTCTTCCTTCTTACACAGAGAAAAAAGCGAATCGACAAGTTCGTGAACGAGGATAAACGGGAAACCGTTGCCAAATGCTTTTTTCGGGCGACGGGCGACGAAGAATGCATTTGGCGTGCTCCGAATTGCATTGTGGGTTCGTGGTTGGTCGCAAAAACCAATCTATTTGTATTTTGGAATTATTTTTATCTACTTGTACGTTGTAACGAAATACAGACAATCCAATAGACATGCACGACCGCAGGCTGTGCGAATGCATTTCGCCAGCCCAATGATGCATGCGGTCTTGCCTGTCTGTCTGTTTGTTCTGCGCGGGGTCAGGTCTAGCGTGGTTGTGGAAAACAGCCAGCTGCCAATACTACATTTGGGCATATTCCTTTTTACTTGGGCCAAAAAAAGGCATGAATCATATCTATGTCTTTGGGTTCCGACTCATGATGGTGCATGACGACCTGTTCAGCGGCCAGCGCTGAAGCTTATGGTACCCCCAAATGCCTGTCGATTTTTAAGTCGCATTATTATTTCACGCGTTTTTCCTTTCTCTACAATCTTATTGTTTGGGGTCTTCGCCGGCATAGTTTTTTCTTTTGGCGTTGTGGTGGCGTTATGGAAGGGGTGGGTATTTATTAGGCAAAAGCTAAAAAATCTTAAACCATGTATCAGGGTAACGGCTCCGCGAGCACGTATGCATTCCCCGCAACAAGCAAAGATACGTTCTTGTAGTCTTGGACAGGTGCCGACGAAAATCAAGCACTACTGCTACGGAAGGGGTGGTGCTTAAACAAAGGCGGCTAAATATCATGAAATCGCGCATTAGGGCAATTGCTCCACGAGCACGCGCGCATTCCCCGCAGCAAGAAATAATACGTTCTTGGACAGCTGCCGACACAACACAAGCGCTGCTGTGGAAGGGATGGGAGCTTCAACAATTACCAAAAAAATGACGCAGGATGTCAGGGCAATTGCTGCGCCAGCACGTATGGAAACCCCGCAGCAAGCAAAGATACATTCATGGACAACTGACGACGCGAATCAAGCCTCAGAAAGTAGAATGAAATCTTCCTCGAAATTCAAGACGATCCTCAGAAAGTGCAACGAAACTTTCCTCGGAAATTCATGACGAATTTCAGAAATTGCAACGAAACCTTGCTCAGAAACTGCAGACGAGCCTCCGAGATTAAAACGAAATCTTCGAAAAAAATCAAGGCGAATCTCAGCGATTTCAACGAATCCTTCCTCAGAAACTCACGACGAGTCTCATATGATGCAATAAAATCTTCCTCAGAATATCAAGGCGAGTGACAATTATAACGAAACCTTACCCAGAAATTCTATACTACCCTCAAAAATGGTAACGAAACCATATTCAGAAATTCAAGACGATCCTCAGAAATTGCAACGCAATCTTCCTCAAAGATTCAAGATGAATCTCAGAAATTGCCACAAAATCTTGCCCAGAGATTCATGACGAGCATCAGAAATCGAAATGAAACCTTGTTCAGAATTTCGTTCAAGACGAATATCAGAAAGTGCAACGAAACCTTCATCAGAAATTCAAGACGAAACTTTCCTAACAATCTCAAGACGAACTTGAGGAATTGCAATAGAAACATTCCTCAGAAATTCAAGAGGAGCCTCAGGAATTACAACGAAAGTTGCCTCAGAATCCCAAGACGAAGCTCAGAAATTATAACGAAACCTTCATCAGAATATTAAGACGAGCCTCAGAAATTGAAACGAAACTTTCGTCAGAATTTCGAGACGAGGAATAGAAAATACAATGAACCTTCCCCAGGATTTCTAGTCGACTCTCAGAAAATACAACGAAATCTTCTTCATAAACTCAAGACGAGCCTCAGAAACTATAATGGGACCTTCCCCAGAAAATCAAGACGAGTATAACACTTGCAACGAAAACTTCCTCAGAAAATCAAAACGAGAAATAATGACGACGAAAAGTTCCTCGGAATATCAAGACTAATATCAGATATTATAACGAAATCTTGCTTGTAGACGAATAATAATTGTAGCGAAGCCTTCTTCAGAAATTCAAGACAAGTCTCAGAACATATATCGGAATCTTGATCAGACATTCTAAGGCGGGCCTCAGAAATTTCAATGAATCCTTCTTCAGAATCTCAGATCAGAAATTGCAACGAAATCTTCCTTGGAATTCAAGAAGAGAAGAGCCTCAGAAATTGAAACGAAACCTTCCTCAAAAATTCAAGACGAGCCTCAGAAATTGCAACGAAATCTTCTTCAGAAACCCAGGACAAGCCTCATAAAATAAATCGAAACCTTGATCAGAAATTCTATCTTCATAAACTCAAGACGAGCCTCAGAAATTGCAATGGGACCTTCCTCAGAAATTCAAGACGAATATCGAAAATCATAACGAATCCTTCTTCCTCAGAAACTCAAGATGGACCTCAGATATTACAACGAAATCTTCCAAAAGATATTCAAAATGAGCCTCAGGGAATTTTTTTAACCCCTCAGAAATGCAAGACGAGCCTCCTCCCAGGGAGAGCCTTTGAAATTGGAAACGCAATCTTCTTCAGAAATTCAAGACGTAGAAATTACATCGAAATCTTCCTCAGAAATTCAAGACGAATTCAGAAATTCAGAAAATCAACGCGAAACAAATTGTAATAAAATCTTCCTCAAAATTACAAGAAGAGCCTCAACAATTGCAAAAAAAAACCTTCCTCAGAAATTCAAGACGAGCCTCAGAAATTTAAACGAATCTTTCGTCAGAAATTCAAGACGAGCCTTAGAATATTTCCTCAGAATTTCAAGACGATCCTCAGAAATTGCAACGAAACCTTCCTCAGAAAATCAAAACGAGCCTCAGAAATTCAAATGAAATCTTCCTCAGACTTTCAATATTACTCTCAGAAATATCAACGAAACCCCCTTCAGAAACTCAAGACGAGCCATTGAAATTTGAACGGAATTTTCCTCAGAAGCTCAAGACGAATCTCAGAAATTGCAACGAAACCTTCCTCAGAATATTAAGACGAGCCTCAGAAAGTGCAACGAAATCTTCCTCGGAAATTCAAGACGAATCTCAGAAACTACAATGAAGCCTTCCTCAAATTTTCATGACGAGCTTCATAAATTGAATCCAAATCTTCCTCGGATATTCAAGACTTTCAGAAATTTCAATGAAATCTTCCTCAGAAATTCAAGACGAATATCATGAATTATAACGAAATCATCCTCAGAAATTCAAGACGAATAAATATCAAGACGAAAACTATTTTACTTCGAATATCCCCACCTTGCTCCTCGTTAAAAGGAAAGAGCGCAAATGAGATGTTCAAACAAAGACACATTGATTCAAATACGCTTTCTTGGTTTTTGCTTGCAATTGGGGTTGGGCACTCCAGGGAGACTCTGGGATTGCGCACTCCAGGGAGACTCTAGAATTGGGCACTCCAGGGAGACTCTGGGTTTGGGCACTCCAGGGAGACTCTGGGGTTGGGCACTCCAGGGAGACTCTGGAGGTGGGCACTCCAGGGAGACTCTGGGTTTGGGCACTCCAGGGAGATTCTGGGGTTGTGCACTCCAGGAGTCTCTAGGTTGGGAACTCCAGGGAGTGGGCGCTCCGGGGATTTTCTGGGGCTGGACACTCCAGGGAGTCTCCAAGAGTAGACCGGGCGAGGAGAAGAGTTCCGGGCGAGGAGAAGAATTGAGCTTAACCTCTAACAACCCCATACCGAAGGTGGGAAAAAAATTTCAATGAAATCTTCCTCAGAAAGTCAAGACAAACCTGAGAAATTACAACGGAACCTTCCTCAGAAAATCAAGACGAGCCTCAGAAATTACAAAGAACCCTTCTTCAGAAATTCAAAACGAATTTCTTCCTCAGAATTCCAAGACGAACCTCAGAATGAGTAACAAAATCTTTTCAGAAATTAGAACGAAACTAGACACTCAAGACGAACCTCAGCAATTGCAACGAAACCTTCCTCTGAAAACCAAGACAAATAGCAATGATAACGAAATCTTCTTCATAATTTCATCATGAGCTTCAATCAATACAACGTAACCTTCCTCAGTGCAACGATACCTTCCTCAGAAATTCAAGATGAATCTTGGATATTGAAAACGAAAACCTTGCTCCCAAATTCAAATTTCAGCCTCAGATATTGCAACCACACTTTTCTCAGAAATCCACTACGATCCTGATGGAAGTCGCGTTTAAAGGGGCTCTGACCGAGCTTGCGAGACAGAAAGAAACCTTGTTCCTTCAAGCGCCAGGGTAAGAACCTTCCGGGGGCAATGAGAAAAATTCGAAAAGAGACGATTACCCAATCCGAAAATCCTCAGAAATTTCAACGAAACCTTTCCCAAGAACTCAAGACGAGCCCCAGAAAACACAACTAACCTCAGAAATTGCAACGAAATCTACCTCAAGAACTCAAGGCGAACCGATAACTTCCTTAGAAATTCAAAATGAGCCTCAATATTGCAACGAATTCTTGCTCAGAAATTCAAGGAGAATCTCAGAAATTCAAACGAAAATCTTCTTCAGAAATTCAAGATGAGTCTTTTCAGAAGTGACAAACTACGTAGCTCCTGCTTTTGCGTCTGAGCCCAAGGCGCCTATCGATCAGGACATGTATTAAAACTATTATATACGAGTACAAATCTATGCAGGCCAGTCTAAGCACTCCGATGTCAGCTTTTACTCAACACGAAATCGATTTCGGCGCCTATCAACAAGATAATCTCACACCCATCTTCTCAACGAGTGGATGAGAGCGCCTCAAACTAAAGTGAGACTTGTCACTCAGTCGGTGCTTCGTCCTTGATAATCGCTTCGTTGCTTGCCAAGGCATCATTGAGAAGCTTGGGCTTCATGCTTTTCGTCAAACAATCCGCCAATTGGAGCTGTGTTGGGATCCATCTCAGGATGTCGCCAAACGGTATGAATGCTTCGCTCGTCGGTGTGTCATCGACCCAAAGTGCTTGGCGAAGTGCCGTCATCTCGATGGCGAGCCTTTTGTCCTCCATGGGTCTGGATACGAATATTAGAAGATGGTCCGTGAGCGACCTGCAATCGGAGTATTGCAGACGCAACATCTTCCTTAATTCGAGGATCGCCGCACGGATTCTGTCGCCGTGCTCTGTTGCGTGCTGCAAGCTGTACACTTCGCACTGAAGAGTCGAACGGCAAACCCTCTTCATTGTCGAGCTACCCAACGCTATCAAGTGGAACTTGTGCTTGCGTGCATTCACATCGCGAGCTGTTTCTGCATGGAGAGATAGTGCAATCGCCCTCTCTGGGACTTGTACCCAGGCTCTGCAGCGAACGACGCATCGCAGAAGGTGACGACTGCTAGAAACACTCTGCCCCATGGCGATATCCCTATTCGAAACACGATACTTCGGTCTGCGTCGCCTAGGGCCAACGCAACCACCCTATTGGCCTCTTTCATGGTCTCGACAGTGGCGATCGTGACGCACTGCTGCAACGCATTGACACGATACATGAAGTCAGGCCTCATGGCTCTGGCTACCCAAGCGAGTGAACCGATAATAGACCTGAGTGATATTCTCTGTCCTTGTGGGATAGGTGCTGTCATCTTCGTATCCTTCGATATCTCGAGGGGAGTGATGGCACGAGTGTTGTTTCTACAATTGATCTCGATGGTGCTATCGGGGTGCTGAACATATTCTCTCCCGTAGAACCTGAAATTACCCTCTTCAATTCGACCGACTTTGAAATGATCCAAGCGTCGCTGAATCTTCAACTCACCCTCACCGAATGCTGCCCAGAAGAAATCGTCAACATATATGCACAATATCGCGCACAACTTGCCCCTATCGTCGTGCACATAGTAGAGTGCTGACAGGATTTGGGGCGATTTCAATCCGATAGACTTGGTCTCGTCGATTATGCGAAGGTACAGATTTCGGCCGGCATCGGTCACGTGCGATCATGTATCTCGACTCCTGGATATCCTTGTCCGGGACGCTCTTGGGATTCCTGGGCGCCTTGAGGGTCAATAGCCTCTCGAAGGGTTTCCCTTGAAAATGGGCATTGGTGATGTCGTCTGCCTTGATACGTAGGTTAGCGAGGACGCCCAAGAGCAGATAAACGCTAATGCTTCTGGTTCGGCAATTGGGGAATCTACCCTGATATCATCTCCGGTCGAGATGTGCTCGGAGTTCCCGCAAGCTACCAACCTAGCCTTGAACTTGGGTGGGTACACAAATTTGACCCTGTCGAAGCAATCCTCCCACCTGCTTCTTTGAACAGGGCACGACGGCATGGAACTCCATATACTAAAATCTGTTCTGCAAGCGTTGCCTTTGACAACATTCGTATTCTGTTTGATAAGTTCGCGTGCAACATGATGTATCGCGCGGGGTTATCATTTTGAGTTTGCATTCTTATCTGGATGGGGGCCGGCTGGCCGGCTATTGACGTCTCAACGAGCAATCATCACAAGATTTCCGGATAGGCCGCCTTTGGTATCATGAGGAGAAAACTTCCTTAAGCGTCTTATTTGATATTGGATCCTGATCTTTATTTTTATCTCCATTGATTATCTATAAGTTTAGGATCTTGAATGATATTATTTTGATCACTTCAATGTAGGTTACTTAATTATATAGTACTATATTTTGAATTTAATCCTTCGTCTGGCGAATAACAAAACATGTAGATATGATATTGATATTTGTTTACTACTGGCTTCTTCTATGATACATAAAAAACGTCCATTTGATGATTATATTTCTGTCTTCGACCATGACTTGGCGCTCTAAAATGTTGAATGAAGTTTGGAATTTGGAACCTTGCAATATAAGTACTTCCGAGCTTGGCATTTTAGCTGCACGCCGCTGCTGGAAGCAGCGGGTCAACTCTAGTATTAATTAGAAAGAGGATTCTTAAGGAGAAATAAAGGAAAATAGAATTCTTTATCACTGAAATTAGTTATTGAAGATTGTTATTATTAAATGAAAATGAAAATATTCCAAAAATCAGTTGGAAATGTATAATTGGTATGAGATGATTTTAAGGGCATGTTGCAGAGGTTTTTTATTAATAGTGAAAGACGGTATTAAGGGGGATTTGCGACCCATTTTAACCTTTTGGTTCTTCGATCGTTGTGAAGCAGAAGAGATATTTTAATCTTACGATGATCGTTCAATTAAATATCAATGATATTCGTTTAAACTAATTTGTCAATTTAAAATGATAATTCCCCACGATAAACTTGATTACCCATGGTTCTTAATCGGAACAATTATTAGTTGATTTTTGAATATGAATGATTCCTCCCCCACATGAGAATCTTATATTCATAGATTTGAATCTGAATTCTTTTTTTCAAATATAGAATCTCCATTTATGATCTTGTTGATATATATATATATGGCGACAATTTGGAGCTTGGAAACCGTGCCCTTGTTTCAAATTTGATTTATTCTTCTTGTTCTCGGGCCTTTTGCCTCATCCACCATGCAAAGACAATGTGCGTTCCTCTGTCTTGGCATAAGCCCTTATAATCTATTTTCAATCCAGGAACCTGGTTAAGGGTTCTGTAGTTCCGAATCCCCTACCTCATTGCTGGGCTTGAGGGGGGATGGATCAGGATATCCTCTCTTGAGGGGGTCCCTAAGCAAGGAACGTAGTAGCCCCAGGCAAGGGCTCCGCAATTCCTATTTGCACTAATGGATCTTCCTTGTGGGCAGTCTCTGTCTCCGTTCTGGGGGGGCCCAGAGCAGGTAAACAACAATCTCCATCTCTATTCTTGTCTTCCTTGAGATGGCATAAGAGATTTTTCTTGGAGTGCAAGCGGCGATTTTTGCGCCCAAAATTTCAAATAGAAATCTTTCGGAACGAATCCTATATCTTCGTGAAATCCTCGGAAATGAAATCCTAGGAAGGTGACATCCAAAATAATACAAGAATAGAAGAAAGAATCTCCGTATCCCAACAAAGAAAAGGCCCGCCGCCATCCCGAAATCACGAAACCTCACACATCGAAATTGTCGAGATATCGAGCTCACCCCCCATGGAGGGGAAGAAAATTATCACAAAATCTGGCACATCGAGATTATCGAGACATCGAGTCCGCTCCAAGGCAGAGGAGAACAAAACTATCACGAAGTCTCGTACGTCGAGATTGTCGAGACATCGAGCCGCCCCAACATAGAGGAGACTAATTTTATCACGAAACCTCACTTATCGTGACTGTCGAGATATCGATCACAGAAAGATCAAAATTATCATGAAATCTCGCGTGTCGAGATTGCCGAGATCGTGGAGGAGAACAATGGTATCACGAAGCCTCATACGTCGAGATTGTCGGACATCGAATCCGCTCCAATACAGGGGAGAACAAAATTGTCACGAATCCTCTCGCGTCGAGATTGTCGAGATATCGAGCCCACCCCAACGTAAAGGGAAACAAAATTGTCATGAAACCTCGCGTTTCGAAATTGACGAGATATCGAGCCCCACTCCAACGTAGAGGGGAATAGAATTATCGCGACACTTCTCATGTCGATTTTATCGAGACACCGAGCCCAACAAAATTATCACGAAATATCGCGCGACGATATTATCAAGATATCGAGCCCACCCTCATATAGAGGGAAAAAAATATCACCGAATCCACCCTAACGTAGAAAAAAACGAAATTATCACGAATCCTCGCGCGTCGAGATTGTCGTGATATCGAGCTTTGCCCCATCTCAGAAAGGAACAAAATTATCATGAATTTGTCGCGCGCCGAGATTGTCGAGATATCGAATCCACCCCAACATCAGATCTCGCGCATCGACATTGTCGTAACATCGAGTCCACCCAAAAAAATAGAGGCGCGGGGTTCGATGTCTCGCAGTCTCGACGCGCTAGGATGACGATGCTAGATATTTCGTGGTAATTTTGATCCCTCTATGTTGGAGCGGGGCTCGATGTCTCGACATTCTCGATGCCCGAGGTTTCGTGACAAATCTATTTCCCTCTATGTTGGGGCGGTCTCGCCGGGCTCGGTGTCTTGATAATCTCGACGCGCGAGGTTTGGTGATAATGGAGTTTGTTTTTCTATGTTGGGGCGGGATCGATGTCTCGACGATCTCGACACGCGAGGTTTCGTGACAATTGAGCTCGACATTTCAATAATCTCGATACGAGAGATTTTGCAACAATTCTGTTCCCCTCTATAGACGATGTTTTGACAATCGCGATAAGTGAGATTTCGCAATAATTTTGTTACCCTCTACGTTGGGGTAGACTCGATGCCTCGACAATCTCGACATGAGATTTTGGGACAATTTTATTCACCTCATATTAAGGCGGGGACGCGAGGTTTGGTGATAATTTTGGCCTCGTCTATGCTAGAGTGGGCTCGATATCTCGATAATTCCCCAATGCAAAAGAGAACAATATTATCCCCAAAATTCGCTTGTCGAAATCAGTGAGACATCGAATCCCACCCCAATCTCGCATAGATTTTCCATACTCCTCGCTCTTCAGCGACACCAAAGAGAGCGGCAAGAACTCTTTCATAAGCACATGATACAAGACTATTTCTTGAAGAATGCGGATCTGAGAGATATGGTAACCGTCTCAAGACAATTGCTTACCACGACATCTGGGGTGAACATCATCGCGGATTTTTTGGGACAAACTCAGGCCGCAACGCCTATAGCCCACAATACGTTTTGAGATGAAAACCCACTCCCGATGCCCCCCTGAGCGCGAACACCCTTGAACAAGACAACGTATGATTTCGCTAGATACACTCAGATTACTTGCAAGTGGCCGTAACGTCTTCCCTGAAATTAACGCGATTAATTATTCTTCCACTCGTTCCGGATCATCCCTGGATTGCAAAACGTCACCTAAACACCCCCCCATCACGATTCGACCAGGGGACGTGTCCAAGAAGTATTGTCCTCATATATATCTCCAGGAAATCAAAGATGAGCCCAGAAAAGACAAGTCCATCATAATCGCCCAATAAGGCTAATATATCCCCAAAGCGTAATCCCGATTAAAACGACACGAGAATCCGACCCCATTGAAGGAGCAAATGATAATTAACGATCCTAAATATGATGATAATTCTCTCTCCCTTACATGACCCCAACGAAGGATCCAATAATAGACAACAAAGTATCCGAATCTTTTATAAAGAGATTCGAAGCATTATTCTTTATTTTATACAATTCGGAGCAAGAGACGTATACTCCCAAAAGCACCAATTCAAGATATAAGAATTAAATCCGAGGATCTAGCGCTAAGGGGACACCTGGAAAGACTCGTCACGCGGCGCAAGAGGCTTCTGCTCCCAAAAGCACCAATTAAGAACTTGGAAATGCCTAGAGTGTAAGAGACGCTCAGAGACTCGTATGGACGCATGGAGACTTATACTCGATTTAACATCCAAAACAAAACATATAATTACATTCCTGGCACCTGAACTCTATCCTCGCGTCTTCTTGGCGACAATTCCCACGATTAGTATTTGATTTTGCTATTGTATCT